AATTTCACAAGAAGTTGCAACTTATCAAGTTACAATTTCTTAATTATAGTACTATCTTTATATAAACCTATTGATATATGTTAGAAAGTGTAATTTTTCATTTTAATCTTTTGCAAAGTAATTAAAGAATATCAAGCAAATATAGGAAAGTATTTTTAAAATGAGTTGTTAATAAATATAGGAATTAGCTTTATTATCTTCAATAGATGATTCAAATATAATTATATTTAACGTTACTAAAGAGAAGCTATTAGACTTAATAAGAAATATGTTAGTTTTTAAAAATAATACATAACTAAACTTTACTAATTAGTGATATCTAATGAAATTACCTTTTGAAATTGATGAAATTAAAATATCAAACTAGTTTTTTATTAATGATAATACTATTTTATTTAATTGCCAAAAGTATATTTAACTTGATTTGAATTCCTTAAATTAAAATACATTAAAAATATAATAATTTTATATTTATTCATATAAAATATTCAAAAGATGAATTCTTTTAAATTAACTACAATTTTTCAAAAAAAAGTCTAGATAAGTATAACTAACCTACAATTTGCAACTCTATATTTTTTATATAAACTATAATACTGCATCTAAAGCTATACATAAGTCAACTCAGCCTGGCTTGACAATTAATTGGCTTGAACTGAGCTGATTTATTCTAGCTCAGACGCAGCTTAGCTTAAGTTAAAAATATAAAAAGCTGGATCAACTTACAAGCCAAATAAGTATAGTTCTACACAAATCGAATCAGATCAGGTTTGATTCAAATCTAATTCAACTCAACTTGATTCAAATCTGATTCAACTTAACTGACTCAAATCAGATTTAATTCGATTTGACTTAACTTAAATAAGATTGATTTAATTTAATTCAACCTGAATCTGATTCATTTCAGATTCAATTTGATTTGATTTGACTCAAATCAGATTTGAATTGATTCGACTTAATATAATTTAAATCTAATTCAATTTGATTTATTTCAATTTAAATTTGATTCAACCTGAACTATTTTCTATAAAGGAATTTAGTTTAATTTTTTTAAAAAAAATGAATTATTCAATTAGAATTTACCTTCATACATAATTTCAAGTTTTATAAATTTTGAATCAGTCAATAAAAGTAAATTAATAACTAATTTTTTTAAAAAAAAATAAAAAATAAAAATAATAACTTAGGGATTACCTTGATCTAATCCTAAATATTTGATTTTAAATCATTCTACAAAAATAAGAAGTAAGTATTAGTATAGATATTATTTTAAATAAACCAATTAATTAACAAATTTCTCTATTATAACTTACCTCTTCCAGAAATCTAACAGATATCTGAGGATCAATTTTTTTTATCCAGAAAATGAATGTGGATTGGTAAGTATTATTTTCTTTAATTTTATATAATTATATATTATATATATCTTAATTATTTTAATTAAATTAAATAATTTTTTGTTTTATTATATAAGTAATAAGAAGAAAGAAAAAAGAAAAAAGAGAAAAAAGGTGAGTAAATTATTGCTTATATTTTTAATTAAAAAAAATTATAAAGACTTACATAAATTTTATTTATAAAGAAACCCCTTTACTTAGAATTAAGTAAAACCCATTTTAAAAAAAAGAAAGCTAAAAAGCGAAGAGAAAATGAAGAAAATAAAGTGAAGATAAAATAGAAAGATGATGACAACTAAAGGATAATAAAATAGATAATAAAAAAAACAAAGAAAAAATGACAAGCGAAGAGAAAAAAGAAAACAATAAAAACAATAAAAGGGATGATAAAGAAAAAGTAAAAGGAAAAGATATGATAAAAAGAATAATAAAAGAAAAAAGAAAAATAAGTAAGTATTATTATTATATTTATTTAAATTAAAAAAAATTGAATTATAAACTTACTTAATTATTTTCTTTAGAATTATAACTCAGCCCTAAAAAAAAAAAGAACAAAAGTGAAGAAAATAAACAATGAAAAAGAAGAAATAAAGGAAACTCACATTGAAAAAGAAGAAGAAATTGGTGAATATTATTTTTATTTTTATTTAAATTAATATTAAAAAATTCATTATCCCTAAATTTGTATATATTCCCTTCTTTATTTAATACTCTATTAATAAGTATCCACTTTTTCTTACTCTCATAAAACTTTCTCTTCACAATAAAATGAAGACAAAAAAAAAGACAAAAAAAGAAGACAAAGGAAAAGTTAAAGAAGAAGATGAAAAGGAATTTAAAGGAGAAGATGAAAATTAAAATGAAAGGAAAAACTAAAGAAAACGTGAAAGCAAAAATGAAAGATAAGGAAAAAGATAAGGCAAAAATGAGAAAATGAAGTAAAAGGTAAAAGCAAAGATAAAAGAAAATGCTATCAAAGCATTAACTTTAAAAAAATACTACTAGAGTATTTAAATTTGAAAAAAACATTACAGGAGCATTAAAATTTGAAGAAAATGCTAATAAAGTGTTAAAATTTAAAAAAATGCTACTAGAGTATTTAAATTTTAAGAATACACTACCAGTGTATTTAAATTTAAAGAAAATGATATCAAAATGTTAAAATTCAAAGGAAATGTTACCAATACATTAAAATTTAAAGAAAATACTACCAGTACATTAACTTGAAGAAAAATGCTACTAGAGCGTTAAATTCAAAGAAATGCTACCAGTACATTAATCTCAAACAAAAATGCTACCAATATGTTAATCTTGAAAAAAAACACTATTAGAATGATAAAATTTAAAGAAAATACTACCAGTATGTCAATTTTGAGAAATAAGCTTCTAAAACATAAAATTAAAAAATGATTCTAAACATTTCCTTTAAATTTTAATGCTACTAATATATTAATATCAAAGAAAAATGCTACCAATGCATTAAAATTTGATGAAAATGCTACTAATACATAATTTTTGAATCTAATATTATTAATGCGTAATCTTTAAATCTAATACTCTAGAAGTGATTTTTTTTGAAATTATTACATTAATAGCATTTTTCTTGAAAAAATACATTCTATTAGCATTCTTTTAAAATTAACGCTTCAATAATATTTTTCTTCAAATTTTAATGCACTAGTAGCATTTTTTTTAAAGTTAACATACTGGAACATAAATTTTAAAGAAAATACTACTGGAAGGTAAACTTTGAAGAAAAATGCTACTAGAGTATAAATTTTGAAGAAAATGCTTTCGTAATATTTTTTTTTAAAGAAAATACTCTAAAAGCATTTTTATTTAAAGTTTAATATCTTGAGTTCAAATTTCTTTAAAGTTTAACATCTAGAATTCAAATTTCTTTAAAGTTTAAAACTTCAAATACATTTTCTTTTATTTTCTTTAACTAAAATGCCTTTGGATTTTTTTTGAAAAATTCAAGCTGATGAGCTGAGTTACACTATGAATTAAGTAATAGCATAAGCTAGCTTAACTGACTTGTAAGCCATTTTATTGTGACTTGAGTTAATTAAGCCTTGACAAGCCTGCTCATGAGACTCGTAAGTCAGCTCAATTTTATATGTAGCACTAAGCTAAACTATTTTCATTTCATCTAATAATAAAATAAATATATTAGAGTATATAATAAATCAAAAAAAAAGTTACTTACTATTGTCCTTACAAAATTTGTTTTACTGGCAAATTGCTTAATACAACATTAAATAGCGGAGATAGTATTTCACATACATATAATCCTCTATTTATCTCTGATATTTTCATGTATTTTAGTATAAACTATACATTAGCTTTAAGGAAAGTCATTAGTTTTAAGCCAATTTCATGCAAAATACAGATTGATTTATAAAACTCATAATATATTACTTGTCATCTATTATTGATCGATTTTTATATCTAATAACTTTTCAAATTCTATATCCTACATATTTTGTGAAACTCTTATTTATTTCTATAAATTTTTTATTTTTCGCTTTGTAAAAACTCATTGCAAAATTATTTTATTTCCTGATTTTTCATTATTAAGAATTTTTTGATAAGTTTTTAAATATGTTGCGATATTCTTCTGGAATTTGTTTTAAAAGTTCTGAGCTTATATCTAATATATTATTGCTCAATAGATGATCATAGGTCAACTGGCATACATTAATCTTTTCTAGTTCATTAAATATCTATTATTACATATTATTTTTAGTTTTTGAAATCTTAGGATCCTTTATAATCTATTATATTATATTAGTAAAATATTATAGTGAAAAGTATTTAATATTACATATACCTTATTTACCTCTTACTTTAAATTAGTCAAGTTTGTTTTTATTTCATTACATCAAGTTAATATATCAACATTCTATAAAAAGTAAAAATATATAAGCAATATATATATATATTACCAGATATATTATCAAATTTACTAAAGTACTGAGATCTATAAGTGATGTCATCTTAACATAATACTTTATGACCTAAATTTGATATAGAGACTATTATTATTATAATGACTTTTATAAGATAACAAAAAATATAAGTATGTAAGATCAGAAAGGCTTTCATATTTTTTTATTTTATGTCAAGTGTTACTCAGCAAATAATATAAGCCTCAGTAGAATCCATATATTATGTTGATACATACAAAATCATTACTAGTAAATAGCTTTAGCAAGCATAATAGATATATCTATTCACTTAATCATATATCATTATGCATTTTAATCACTTTGATCAATTGCATCAGCCAAAGTCATTATATAACTTATGTTATTATAATATCAAAATTACTCTCTTTCTCAAATGTTCTCCAATACCAAAATTTATGAACTTCTTTTTTCAACTGATATTATCATTTTGTAAAAGATTTAAAATTCTTTTATGTATGCTTATAAAATTATTAACATTTAATTTACAACTATTGTTCTAATCACCCAACTCTATCTATTTATATAATACTTCAGTAATACTTATATTAGATAATTTGTGATTTAAATGATAGTTTTCAATACTATTTTTTTTTAATAAAATATATAAATATATATTATTTATATTAATAAGTTAAATTTCTAACTTTAATTTTATGTCAAATGTCATAATATGATAAAAAAAGCCACTTAAAAATTGAGTTAATCTGTGATTAGTTACTTTTATTATACTTAGCAACTTAGTATCATTTTCCATTCCCTAATATTGCATAACATACATAGTATATAACTTTAATTTTGAGGAGTAAATGGTATTACATATAGCATTGATCATTTTATTAAGTGATTTTTATATGATATTTTACATCTTTTTTTACATTGTCAATAAATAAATTATATAACTTTATTATATCTTTAGAAATTTTTTTTGATACAAATATTTATTTAGTTTGTAACTATTAATTTATCAACTTTAAACTCAAACTTTTTTATCACTTTTAGTAGATCTTACTAAAAAAAAAATGATTTTTCTTATAAACTCATAAAATTTTACTCAAAAATTATTATCTGATGTTTTGTTTTGTCCTTTCAAAATAACAGTAGACAAACTTTCTATTTTAATTATAAAGTTGAGTGATTCAAGTAACAATATAATTGGGTATCTTTCAAGTTTTATATACAAATATTAAGACAACCAAAATCTTTTTGTACAAAATATTGAAAGTAAATATTGTTATATAGAAGTATTTCAAAAGAAAGAGAGAATCACTTATTTTAGAGATATTTCGCCAACTGGGATTTGGAAGAAAACCAGAATTCTGAAAAATTATAACAGTAGCATTTTATTTGAATTGAATATCCTATTACAATTAATGTATTAAAAAAAATATGCAGAATCTCCAATATGTAACGTGAATGAATGGAAAAATATTGAAGTAATATCTAAAGTATTAAAAGATATCTAAAATGGCAAACTTCTATTGTTAGACTTAATTGGCATAGGTTTTTTATGGAATGGAAAGAGCAAGAATCAAATATTATAAAATTGATAATGCATTTTAAATCGCTATATCCATTGGATTATGAATTTACTGATCAGAAGTTGTGTATTTAGAGGAAGATGATGAAAAGTGTTAGTTGTACAAATATAACATCTTATAAAAGGCAAGAATTGAAAGTAAGTTTTTTCGAATTAAATGGTTTTATTTTTACTGAAAAAAACTGACAATAGCTTTATAATAGCCTAAATTTTGAACATATTCTGTGGATTTCAGTAGTGAAAATACTGGTCGAAATGGGTACAAATTGGCTATAAATCAGACAGACGATTGATGGATGATTGATGACTAATTTAAGGCTGATTTGCATTAATTCTGATTAACATAATATGAGTTAATCAGAAATATCAATCGGTCATCAATCGGCTATCTAAAATTAGCCTAAAAACTACCTAAATTTGATTATCAATCAACCTAAATTAGCCTCAAATCAGCCAAGCAAATCAGAATTAAAAATAACTAATTTATAATTATTTAAATTTTATTAATTTTATAATTTTATTATTTTATTATTTTTACATAATTATTGTGATTTTTTTAAGAAAAATAAAGAATAATTAAAAATCCACTTCAAAAGTCT